CCATCCATATAGCGACGGCAATGATCAATGCATACACATATGTCACTATTTCTTGTGCTCATGAGAAGAAAATACGACACTGTTCTCAAGTTTCCATTCAACTTCAAAGTGACATTTTATCTACGCGATCAAATTCCACAACAACGTCATACCATCGATTCGTTTCTATCATGTATTCAGTGGAATAATTAACCGTCAACGTTCACGATCAAAAATGAATATGACAAATAGCATACCGAAATTCTAATCATTGCCGATGACCTTGCAGCACAATGACTTTTATTTTCGTGATATTACAATGTTCATCGACGTGCTGGCGGATTTGTATTATATGCCGAAGTCACTTTTGTTCCTATGTACTCCGTCTCAATCAAGAACTGTCTATACATAAGCAACTAGATATGATTCAATACGACACAAAAAGAAGAACCCAATCAGCATCTGAAATGTAGCAATAGCGATTGTCTTCAATTTCATCTATGGTTAACGTGGAAACGAATTGTCCGATGATGATCGATATAGATCAAATAAGTAAAATTCACTAAATTGTACCACTGCTCAGTGAAGCTGGAACTCAAATTCATCATATTTCGTAAGCACTTCGAGTAATAAAGAACCATGTAGAAAACAAGTTGTGTGATAATTATATGGATTGTAAGTTCATTTTACAATTTTTTTTATCAAAGTGATGAAAATTCCTTTCTCTGAAACATGATTAATAGTGAATGATAGATGTGGGTGGAGATAACACTTGTAGCCTAAAAAACTATATCTTCGTTCGGAAAGAGATGTCCATCGTCAGTTCGAGACTTGGTGTGCTGTGGAAGATGTTTGAATTAGAAACATGAAGCAGTTAACTTAAAGAAATATTTCTTCGTTGTTGAAACCCATCACTCAGTGACTGAATAATTTTTACTCGATGTTTTGGCTCAGTTGCTCGAAGTTAATAGGTCATATATTGAATGATTTCAACAGTATGAGTATTTCTCTTTGTTTGCTTGTCATTTGTTCTTTTGAAACGTCATCAATAACAAAAATAAAATAATATTATCTGTTGACATGGATGTTAGGTCAATATCCTTCAAAAACAAAATGTTTCTCTTGAAACTCATATTAATGGATCATGTTCGTTTTTCTCGGCATAAATAATATGATATGATTTTAGTTTTATTTTCTATTATAGATCAAAGAAAACCGTTTGCTATACGACGTTCAATTCATAGATCAACACGAATTCCTCGATTTCAATTTCGTCGCGAAACTAACTCCATTATTTCGCATGAAAATGATCGACTTAAACTTATTCGATTGATCATTGATTTTCTGTGAACCAACGGCGAGAAAATTGTCTTTTGTTCATATGAAAAGTTCGCACCGATGCTTGTAAACGTTCGATTTTGACAGAAGAAAAAAACACTTATCGGCGAAATTCGCATTTACTGGTCGAGAGAAACTCAAAAATGCTCACAGAAGAATGAATGAAAGAAGAAATTTCACTAGAAACAGCAACGTGTTGTTGTCGGCATTAAAAGACGAATGACCGAGAAGTTTCAGAATGATATTGATGTGCATTTGATTCGAATCAATCAGTCTGTTCGCACGTATAAATGATCATGTAATGGTTTTTGAAAACGGAACATAGTCGTTCAGTTCTTTTTAGACGCACTAAATTAGGAACTTCAATAGCATCAATTGTATGGTCTTACAACGAATATATTAACATTCACGAACAAGAGCAATAATTTCTTTTAGCTTGTATTTTTTTATTTGTAAGTTACGTATGATAGTAAAAAAATTAATTTAGAACAGTATTTCTTGAGCCTAGTCAAATGAATATATATATATTTTTGTCATTAGCTATATGTTATTTTTCCATGTTGTTTGTTTTCTTCTAAAGAAACATATGCTTCATAAGAAGATCCAAATAGTATTCTTTGTTATGATGCTTAAAGTACTTGTTTTGTACTTTGTATCAGATTTATGTTAGAAATTCTGATTAAATTGTTTGCGATCATCAACGATACATAATTATGAATATGTTGAAAATCTATTCTATCAATTTTTTTTAAAGTTACTAGTCTATTGATAAGTTTCTTAGTCGTAGGAGTAAAACACTAAATAATTCTGAAGAAACGTTTAAAATTGAAGGATCATCCAAAAATAGAATGATTAATATTATGTGACAAAACATTGGTTTCTCTTCATTTAATATAAAAACGATGTTTTTATTTTTGTTGTTGTAATATTTTCCACTAGCTTATCATTATTTTAACTGGTCGAATGATTAACCAATGAAAAGTTCCTCTCGAAGAGGGTTTTATTATGTTTATAAAGATTGATTTATGGCCGGTACAAACAAACGAAATCCGATTGTATACAAGATTTTTTTTTATTGAATTAAAAAGAAAAATGAATGATGATCTTATTCAAACAATAATAAATGATGATCGTCAACGTTTTTTACTTGACCTTGAATTTGTTCAAACATTAGCAAATCCTCAATATTTAAACTTTTTGGCTCAAAGAAATTATTTTAAAAATCCAGCATTCATTAATTATTTGAAATATTTACTTTATTTTAAAGAAGATAATTATATAAAATATATTCATTATCCTCAAGCACTTTATTTTCTTGATTTATTACAACGTGAACAATTTCGTCAAGAACTAGTTAATACAAATTATTGCCGATATATAGAAGATCAGCAGCTACTTGCATGGCAACGGCTCCAACGCCGAAAGAATCAACTTTTAAATAATGCTGCCGGGGTAACAACAACAACAAATAATAGCAACAATGAAGCAGAAACTACAAATCCACAGAATAACACAAACGTAACATCAACGTCAACAACAGCGAACAATGCTCAACTTCGTTAAAAGTCATACATAGATGTTTTCCTTTTTTCGGCTATAGTTAAAACTTCTTTTTTGTCTTCAACGAAATGAACTTTCACGATAAGTAAATTCCTTAAAAAGGAATTCTATTCTGAAGAAATATATATATATGTATATGATCAATTAAAACAAAAAGAACTGTTTGCTCTCATTGAATTGTCTAATGTATATATTGTTTTCATTATTTCAGATAAATAATAATGACATCAATTGATGATGGAACATCAGCTTCTACTCCAACCAATGCACTTATTTTGCCTAATATTATTTATCCTGTAATTGAACAACTTGATAAATCTGGATATAAAGATATTCAAACGGATTTACGTACAACATTTTTTAAACTTGAAGAATTATATCCAGGTTTTTCTCGTAGTTTTCTTCAATCATTTATAAATAAAGAAATGCCATCTTTATCACCAACAATAAATATGAATGAATTAACACTTAAATTAGAAAAATATTGTGATAAATCATCATATTTTATATCATCATCACGTAGTGAACAAGAATTTCATGAATTGAATATTCGTTCAAAAAATCTCAAACGTATATTAAGTCGTATTCCTGATGATATTAATGAAAAACGTGAATTTCTTGAAACAATTAAAGAAATTGCAAGTGCAATTAAAAAAACACTTGATAGTGTATCAAATACATATCAATATTTTAAAACAGCTGATGGACGACAAGCATTAGAAAACGAAAAAAAAGAATTTATTAAATATAGTAAAAATTTTAGTAATACATTAAAAGCTTATTTTCGAGACAGTAAACGTGATGATGTTTATATAGCAGCAAATCATTTACTTGTTCAAACAGATTATTTATTACGTACCATAAAACTTTATTGTGAAACCGATACACTTGATGATTGCTTATATCCATTATTATCTCATCATCAAAATCAATCTCGTATAATTCCATCATCACGTTATTCATCGAATAGCAATCAACAACATCATAATATAAGACAATCATCCTCATCATCATCATCTGGACATAATCGACCGACTTCATTATATGAAACCGGTTATACTTGAAAGATAATTCGATTAGAATAAACAATATGTAAACTATAAACATTTTAATTCCGTCTTTATATGTACAATTGTCTTCTATTTATAATGTATGTATGAGAAAAAAATGTGGAAAAAACGAACTTGCTAAAATTGTCTTCCATATACGTATGTACAGTAGGATTTGTTCTATTATAGAATGATTCTTGTTTATAAAAACAAGAAAAGAAAATAATATTCAAATCATTGTTTATTCCTTTTATTTTCAATCTTTTTATTACTCTTACGAAGTCTAACTGAAGTCACGCCCTCTATATATTGAACAGAAATGAAAAATAACAAAGATTTTCCTTCTTTTGAGATTTTGGTTACGAACTAAACATTATAGTTTAGTATGAGTGTTACTGCCAATGATTAGTCATGAAAGTAAAAAGAAAATTTTATAGATACCGTATCTTATATTGAAAAAGGAGAGAAAGTAGAAAAAGAAAATATAAAAACAAGAACATGTGCATTGAAGTATGGACGTGTGGGCACATGCATCAGCTCGTCCTTAATAGTTAGCTAAGACTGATATAGTAAAGAATAAAAGAACGATAGAATGGCGAACGACAAAGAGAAACAAAGCCTGTCCCCTCTTCTGTTTTTTTTTCTATTGGCAAGTACCACAGCAATAACGGACTAGCTTTTAGACTCGTCCTTTTCTTTTCTTTTTCCATTTCTCTCGTTTTCTTTTCTATTAATTCGTCAGCAGTTCTTCATGATCGCAACAATAAAAATATAATGCATGACCGAGTTTACTATCTGTTTTTTTTGTTCAGAAATACACGTTCACACTATTAATTTATACTTGATGACTTCACACCAATTGAAGGAGCAGATTTTTTTTTCTCTGCTATTATAATGTCATGTTCTATTTAACTTTTATTTACACAACGTCATTTTATTATCTAGAAAAGATAGCCATTGACTTTAACCTGTCTATCAGTCCTTTTTTTCTCTTTTTTCTTTTTCTTTTTGTTAATATTTAAGATTGAAATACGAACAATAAAAAAGACAATTTATTTTAATAAATAAACGAAAATGCCATCCTCATCTAATGTAGATAATCGTACTTTTAAACAACGCAAAAGTTTTGGTAAATATATTATTTATTTATTTATAAGATGAATTGATCTTCTCTTTTTTCTCTTCAAAGCAACACGCAAAGAAGAAGTTTCTGGTATTCGAAATAAATTTCCAAATAGTAAGTTTTTTTTCTTGATATTGTTTATTAAAAACTGAATCATTTTTTTTTCTTCTAGAAATTCCAGTCATTGTTGAACGATATCACAAAGAAAAAAATTTGCCTATCCTCGGTAAATGAAATCAATTTTTGGGTGTTGTTTGTTATTTTGTATTCTTTTATTTTTAGATAAAACGAAATTTTTAGTGCCACAAGAATTGACAATGTCTCAATTTGTGACAATAATTCGGTAAGTAAAAGTGTTTTAAAAAATAAAACTTTTAAAAATACGAAAATAAAAACTAATTAGAAATCGAATGCAACTAAACGCCAATCAAGCATTTTATTTGTTGGTAAATAATAAAAGTATTGCTTCAATGTCAACGTCCATGGCAGAAATTTATCGTGATGACAAAGTAATTTTACATATATTTCATAATAACACAAAAATATGTTTTTTTTTTCAAGGATGATGACGGATTTCTTTATATGACTTATGCGAGTCAAGAAATGTTTGGTGGAATTTATTAATAAATAAGCAATTCTGTTTATAAATATATATATATATATATCTTTTTTTTGCTGTTGTTTGTCTTTGAAATGTTTTTTCCTCTATAAAAAAAATCACACCATCTTTTTTGCTTATCATACTAAGAGCAACCGGTGAACAGGCAAAGAAAAAAAAAAGCATGTTATCAATGTGCAATCTAAAAATATCTCTTTTTTGTCATAATAGAAAAAAAATAAATTATCAACTTCTATGTGTATACCTTGAGCTACAACTTTTTTGCTCTCTTAGTTCATTGTATTATTATTATTGTGCATTTTTATTTCCTGTTTTTCTTCTTTTTTGTATGTGTTGTCATCTCTTTTCTTTCTTATTGATACGTATTAATCATAAATCTGTTTTATTTTGTATTTTACGAAAGAGGAAAATATACAAACACTTATAAATGCATAGTTTGTGTTTTTCTTTTCATTTCGTTGAACAAGAAATTTCGAAGTTATAGAAGTTGATTTTCATTGGTGATGCAGATTTAAGGAATATATGACGGGTTGTATAAGGAATTTATTGGAGTTCATTAACATCTCAAATACTGAAATCTGATTCTTTCTTTTGAAAGGTTATATAAGTGCACTTTTCTATGCAACAGAAAATAACGAAATTTCTTTTGGAGGAATAATATTAAAAGACAAATCTTGACTTAATAGAGTCAGAGTAGTAATGTAAATTATGTTAACTGTTGTGATTAGCTTTTTAGTGTATTTTCTCGTTGAAAAATGTTTAGTGTCTGATTGATTTGGTTAGTTTTTGTCAATTTCTCTAGATCGTTAGGAACTTGATACGTCTTTTCTCTTATTTTTGTGAGTGTTTCATTTTGCTTATATATAAAAGATTTGCTTGCAAGCTGGAAAAATGAGATCATGCTCTATTAGGGATTAAAAATGACCTCCTAGTAATAATATAAAACTCCACTGATGAGTAGAGCGAGTACTTTTAATATTCAAATCTTATTAAAAGTATAAGAAATTACTCTGTTTCTCGTCACATAATGTGATTGCAATACTTTGAAATTACTTTTGATCAATTTTTCTTATCTGTCTATGAGATTAATAATAATGATCTATCAATCCTATTTTTTGTAAACAGAAATAAAAGTCAGTCGTTTAATTCGAATTCGTATTTGATATAAAAATAACATAGACTATATGTCATTAGTTTGGTTACATAACTATTCCGACTAAAGTTGAAACTTCCTAAATAGTTTGTGTAAATAATAATATGTGTTTTGCCTTTGTTTTTTGCAAAACAACAAGAAAAAAAAGGTGAACATTTTAGATTTAAATTCTCGCCAAACATAATGTTTCACAAGTACAATTCGTTTACGAATACACTTTCACCATCTGATCAAATATCTGCTTATATACCACAAGTTAGAAACCTAAATTATTCATGTAAACGAAGAAGTTATTTTGTTTTTCTATTCGTCTCTTGTAGAGCCTTGGTACTAAAGAAACAACAAACAATTTTTTCCTTGCTCCACAACCGAAAGGTCGTCATTCAGGTGGATCACAATCACATTCAGAAAGTAACTTAGCGAGTTCTAAAAGTTCAATCTTCGGCTCTCTTACGAGTAACAGTGGTGCTAATAGCTCGACTCCAGCTGCTAAAACTCATACTGTGGCTACAACGTCTGCTAGTCATGCAACTGCTGGTCATGGTCATCACTCGCATGCTGCTCCATGGGAAGGTGTCAATCTTTGGCGTACACCATTCAAAGGTGATACTGATACAATTACGCATATAAAACGTAGCAAAGGAACACTTGATCAATATGTTGAAAATCGTGTTCGTCGTATCCAACAATTGCAACTCTTGGCATTAGTACATATTGTTTAAAATATTTTTAATAACAGTAATCAATCATTTTAATTTTTGCATTTAGCGTAATAAGAGTGCGCCTACTTGGGTAATGATGCCACGAGATAAACTTCTTCTTGCAGCACAAGGTGCTATTGTTGCTTATGTTCTTTATCAAGCAACTACAAGGGTATACAATCATTTGAAAGCTAAAGATCGTCTTAAGCGTAATTATGAATATTATGTTTTTCTATTAATTTTATTTCTCTTCTACTTTAGTTCTTAAACTGCTCTACAAAGATAACGTCGACTAGTGTGTTTTTCCCAAACTTTATTCAAAATATTGATTCCTCTTTCTAAATTTCTTCATCTCTTAATTTTTTTTCTCCCTCTACAACAATGTTTATTTGTAGTTTTTCTGGTTCTTTTTCAAATAAACATCGTAGGTTAAATTTCTTATTTTGAATAGATTTGATTTAATAATCATGACAAACCAACAAACAAAAATATGAACCTAGTTTATTTTTTAGTTACACAAAAAAAAAGTATGTTTATATTAATGTGGATTGTATAACGATGAACTACTATTCATTAATCTAAAGATAGAAAAATAAAAATAAAAAAGATTTTATTTTGATGTCTTTTTTGTTTTCTTCATCATATCGATTAATAAACCTTGTTTGATGTTTGGTGTTGATATTCAATCAATTGGCATCTGAAAAAAATTAAAGAATGTAGATTTTTCTGCTACTATCTAAAATAATTATGAAAACATAGTCAATGTATTAATGTAAAGAATAAAAATTTACTTTGATGTACAAGACAAATAGCTATAGCTAATGCATAGAAACAAACTTGCCATTAGGCTGTTGAAATGATTTATCGTGTGCGAATTGTTTCTATGCACGAGAGTGTGGGTGTCAGTGAAACAAATATTAACATCTATATCCTCATCATCCTACGTGATTAAAGGAAAGACTTTGCTTGTTTAAAATAAATGTGTGAGAAAAGTGAAAGTTTGAAAACTGCTGGGACGATAACTATTTCAATGACATACTGACGAAAGACATATCCTTCATCTGGCAAAAGACACGAAGTGGCTGCAATCAGTAATCTGTGATGGAGAAGTCGCTGCTTGACTTGTTCATTCTCTTTGAATTTCTTAATGGAAAAGTTGAATCTCCGCTCATCTGTAGGCCTTCTAATATGTTTTGCTTCTTTCTTCATAGTCACTATTGATAAGTTTACTTCATTCTCATTGTAAAAGTGGTTCAATTGACCTCATACAAATTAGATAGACATTTTTCTACTTAACAGCATTAATAGTAAGAGACTGATTTCCTTATTGTGTTTGCTTCTTCAAAAAATGTGCTCGTTTCTTTCCTTCAAATTAGATAAGACAAGCTTCCAGTATTTGTAATTTACGTCCATTTCACTTCTATTCAGAAACTTTTCTCAGATATAACGTGAACTATTCATCATTGTCATGATGACGAAGAGCTGGAAGCATTGATAAATGCGTACACATAGGAGTAGCGAACGGTTTGCATCATCACTATACACAAAATTGTTATAATTTTTCATTCAACTTTTACGGTACAAAACTCATCACTTATACACAGAGTGTCTCAAAAGTTCATCATGAAAAATAATCTAGATACATGTAAAATATTCCAGATTTTTTACACAACTTTTTTTCAATATTATAGTATGTTCTGTCAAGTTGAATTTAATACAATATGATTTATCATAAATATTCAAAATGTTCCCATCAGCTGACGTATAGTAATCTATCCTTTTCAAAATTTGTGAAAAAGTACTAGAGAGAACTTATTTTCGCGTTAATTTATTTTCGTTATTAACTTTCATTTAGACTTCATCTGAATCTTTATGCATACTTTACTAAAATTCATTTATGCTTATATTTATTGATAAACCATTTAAATAAAAAGCTGCTTAGTCGATAAACAATGAATTCCCTTGACTGTTAATATTTTTTAAGGTTGGTATCAAAATTTGACGACTTCAACTCGATTACATGGAATCTTCTTCGCAAAGTCATTGGACGTATAATACTTTGCATAGGCTTAATCGGAAGATTTTTTGCCATTATCTTGTGTGGTGTTGTTCATGGAACGAAACAGAATGATACAATAACCCAAAACATTTAGTAGTGGCTTATTTTCACAGACATCATGAACTATGTCGTTTTTTTCTTGTGTAATCTTTTAAAGTCTTTCACAACTTTGTCGATTTGCCACTTTGCTAGTTTCACAAATGAGTTAGCAAGCGTTCGTAATACAGACTGAGTCTGATGTTCGTATGTCAAATTTGACCTACATTTATTACTACACAACCATACATGACTCATATTTGATCATTCATAAAACTATTTGTATTCTACTACGTGGGAAAAAATATTATTACAGGGGGGTAACCAGGGCCCGCGCGAAGGATCAAATATTAGGGGGGTGTACGGCGGATTGGGGGGGTGTAAGGAAGAATTTTCAGAAAAATTTTGCAGAAAAATTATAAAATGTANATATTGTTCGAGTTTACTCACTAATCCTTCTTAGTTGTGTAATAGATCATAGATCTATGGAAGAAAATTAGTCGCTAATTGCTTCTTTGATTGAATGTCTAGACACGAAAGACAAATTTTCCGATACGGATACTTTTTCGCCCGACCATAAACTGAGCCCTTCACTTCTTCACTGACAGGTTTTAGATTTAGTACAAATAGATGAATTTACGCGAGGATGTACTAGTGTAATTATCAATGTGTTAGAAAAATTAAGCATCGTTAACATAAGTGAACCCGACAGAAATACTGACTTCATATGCCCATTTGGTACCATCCGGTCGTAAAGGGTTAAACGTAATTATGAATATTATGTTTTTCTATTAATTTTATTTCTCATCTATTTTAGTTCTTAAACTGTTCTAGAAAGATAACATGGATTAATGTGTTTTTCCTTAACTTTATTTAAAATATTGATTCCTCATTCTAAGTTTTTTCATCTCTTAATTTTTTTTTCTCCCTCTACAACAATGTTTATTTGTAGTTTTTCTGGTTCTTTTTCAAATAAACATCGTAGGTTAAATTTCTTATTTTGAATAGATTTGATTTAATAATCATAACAAACCAACAAACAAAAATATGAACCTAGTTTATTTTTTAGTTACACAAAAAAAAGTATGTTTATATTAATGTGGATTGTATAATGATGAACTACTATCCATTAATCTAAAGATAGAAAAGTAAAAAATAAAAATGATTTTATTTTGATATCTCATTTGTTTACTTCATCATATTCATTAATAAATCTTGTTTGATTTTTGGTGTTGCTATTCGATCAACTGGCATCTGACAAAAATTAAACAAAGTAGATTTTTCTGCTTGTGATAAATTTGTTATATTTAATGTAATCCATTCACATAATTTAAGTATAGCTGGAAGATGTTCAGCAAGTTCTGAACTGTCTAAAATAATCATGAAAATATAGTCAATATACTAATGTAAAGAATAAAAATATACTTTGATGAACAAGACGAATAGCCATGGCTAATACATAAAAACAAACTCGCCAATATGTTGTTGAAATGATTTGTCGTGCATGAGTTGTTTCTATTTGTGATAATAAATGGCGAAATAAATCATCACGAGAAAGAACTGAAAGTAATTTTAATGATGAATGACGCATTCGTTGTAATTGTCCATCAATGGAACAAGCATTTGAATCAGCTAAAATCAAAAAATACTTTATTTTAATACAAAAAACAAAAATTCTTACTTGATGCATCAAGCGTATAGATTATTTTAAGAACAGTATCAATTTCATGCAATGCACATAAATTATCTAATGGACTTGCTAAGATTGTCAAAATCAGTTCAGTTAAATGGTGTGCAAATTGATAAACCTAAAATATGCATATATATAGAAGAAATCGTTGTTTTTTTTTTTTGTACTTTTTCTTTTGTTCGAACATTTGCCATTAGTGAAGCAACCGTTAAATCAACAACAAATGCAAGTGTACGACCAAACATCCATCGACCATTGCGACTTGTTTCATTATCACTATTTTAATACACACTTTTAGAATTTTTTAAAAGTCTACTTTAGAGATCAAGTCTTACTGTAATAATCGTCGAGTATCGGTATGGAAATCAATGAGAGGTAAAAGAGCATCAAAGATATTACTTGATACAAGTAATTGAGCACCATTATTAACTGATGAAATTTGTAAAAGAAGTGCCTAAATTATATTGAATTTAAAAATAAAATAAATCAAAGTTTTGCTTTTTGTTTTACCATATAAGAGGAAAATGAATGCCATGTTTTAAGATCAACTGTACCAGATGTTTGTAATGATTGTACTACAGCACACATCAGTTGACGTAATTCACTTTCAAGTGAACGTAAAAATGTTTGATTAAAATTATTGAATATTATATCCGATATATCAATGGTTATTAAAGATGTGAGCAGACTTGATGCCGATGACTAAAAAAATAAATTGATCATGACCTTTCTTGGACCTTCGAATGAGCAACGATAAGCACAAAATTTACTTAATATTGATGTCAGAGATGTACACCATCCACATAGATGGTTCTCACTCTAACGGAAAATATGACTTATCAGTGAACGGCTGTACCTTAGTCATACCAGTTGTTAAACTCTGATGCTAGGAATTGTGACAAAAAGAATCTACATCAAACGCTGACATGTTAAGAAGTGCGATTTATTCATTAACAGACTCCTTCTTTCTCATTACACCATATGTTTTATAATGCAATTTTAGATTCATTTGTTAACTTTATAAATGAAATCTTCATCAATGTTGATTAAGAATTATCCTGATAACAAATTGACTTAACTCAAAACCGAGTGAATTTATGTTGTTGTTCTTTGATAAATGTTCAGAAATAAAGGATCATTTTTTAAAAAAAAGTCATACAGCAACAACGCTGTCGTCCTCGTCTCAGTTTTTAGACGCGATACACATCTCTGATTGATATGGCTAAGAAACTGTGAAGCAAGGAGCGACATGAATGAATTTTTCCTGTGAGAAACTCAGTATTTTAATTAGAGAGCGAGGAACCATTATGGAAGAAATATCTTATGAAGGGTATCCAAAATAGTATTAGCTCGTATTTCTTTATTTTCTTCTTGGAAAATATCGAAAGGAAACCAAAATTCTTGACTTCATCATTATCTTTCAGACCGAATTTGTTGATATGTCTGACTTAGAAGTTCTCAAATATTCATATTACTAATAGACTTGAATGAAATGATCATTTATTCAACTCATATGGATAGAACTAATGAATAAGAGTAGCTTAAGTGAAGAGAGGTAGCTGATCGATACCAACAAATATAAAATATAGAATAGTCACACATATAATTATAATATTAACTAAGATATTTATGATTGTAATCTCGTAAACACAAGACATAGCTCGAAATAGCATCGATACTTAAAACGACTGATCCTTTAGATGTACACAAAGTTGAACTAAGTGAACGAGAGTATTGAAGATGGGATCGGCTCGGTTTCAAAAAAACAAGAATCAATTCCATATATGCAGAGTATTTCCATCAGACATTTCGTATTGATCGAGATCGATCGAAAATTATTTAGAATACTATTACTTATATTAAGCGATTACGATTCCTAAAAGTGCTGTCTGATTTGTTCGCACTATCATTAATTTTTACGATTACAATATAGAAATGGATTATTTCGATGTCACAAATTTTTGAAAGCTTACTCGAACAGCTGGTACATTTGAAAGAGCATCATCATAAATAATCGTTAACAAATTATGATTATGTTGAATAGCATTATTAAATATTTTTCTTAGATCATCTTGTTGTTGTTGTTGTTCAACATTTTCAATAATTTCAATACCTTGAACAATAGAACCATAAATAGCAGCACGACCTTTTGATGTAAAACGTTGTTGAATAAAATCAAATAAATTTTTTAAAATAATAATTAAATTTGTTCTATATTCTCCTGTTATTTTTAATTGTTTAATTGATATAGTTGACGTTAAAAAAATATTCATTAAATGACTTGATTGTTGATCATCAAGTATAATATGAGTTTGATTAAATATTTTTTCATATAAAAAATTACATAAATCAAATGGAAATGTTTTTATTTGATTTAAATTAAGATAAAGTATTAATTCAATTAATGAACGCCATGCATCAATATGAGAATTTCTCCAATACAAATCAATTTGTTCATTATTTAATTGATTTGCATATGCAAGAATTATTTTACAATCATGAATATAATTATCTTGATTATTATTAATTTCATTAATTAATTCATTATTATTAGTATTTGCTTGTTGTATTGATTTAATTTCATTTGATAAAAATTTTTTTAATGAATCTAAACGATATAATTTTAAATTTGTCCGTTCATTATATTGACATGCTTGTAATATATGATTAATTTTATTTAAATCAATATTTGGTGTTTTTAATTGATTTATTAATAAATGATCTTGTTTTACGAATGGTAAATTTAATAATGATAATGTTAAACGATTTAATTTAATATCAATTAATTCAAAAAGAAGATTTATCGTTGTGTCAATTAAATTTTTTGATATTATTGTTGGTTCATGTGTTAAATGAAATAATTCATGAGCAATAAGACGTAATAAATATGTTTCAATTGAATATTTAAATATATTTGATGATGATGTTTTTAATGGAAAATGTAATTGTATTTGTTTTTGAATGAATAAATTTTCATGAAGAATATCAAATGTTACTTTAATTATATTTGAAGAGTTATTTGTACATAAAAGATAAAGAACTTCATAACATAATGGTAAAGATTTTTGATAGTAATCAATTTTCATTGGTGATAAATCATCAAAAAATGTTAGAATTGCTTGAAGACAATTATTAACACGACAACTTCTACCAGTTAAAGTTGAATAAAAATCAATTGGTTCAAGTTGATTTTGACGAGTAAAACCGCAAAGATAATGACCAATATTAGATTGAACTGATTTTGTTAATAACCAAAGAACAGTATAACGCATTCGAGCTTTCAAATCTAACATAATAACAAAAGAGAATGAGAAAAATCTTGTTGTTATCTTAATTTTTTCTCAATAAAACAGAAATTCAATAATTATATACTTACCATTATCATCCATTTCATCATTATTATCTGAATCAGGTTCGGTAAATTCCAAGCATCGTACAATACCATTTCTTAATAAAGCTTTTTCTTTCTGAAAAAAAATCGAATTACTTTGTTTTTTGTATGAAAGACTAATCTTACATGATCTTTTGGTAAAAGTCGAAGAAATGGTTTTTGTAACTTGTCTTCACTTAGAGTTTTAGCAAATATTGATAATGCTTGATGTGCTAATTTTGGAAAATAATCAATCATATCAACTAGTCTATAAATATTATAGATAGAATTAAATAAAAATATATTCTATTGAATTTTTACTTCATAATATTTGGAAATAGATCTTTTGTATTTGTATCTGTTACAATACGTTCAATTGGTGTTTGACAAAATGTAAATGATGATAATTTATCTGTTTGTAATATTTGTTGACTACTTAATGTTACTGATTCTAACAATTCCATGATTAATATTAAACTTCTTGAAAGTTCTTGTTCACCTATAAAACAAAATTAATTTTCTTATTAGGTAATCAAAACAAAAAAGAAACAATTTTCTCACCGATAAATGGAACATATTCAAATAATTTTTCACAACCATCACTTATTAAAGTTGTGAGCTAAAAAAAACGAAAGTTAAAAAAACTTTTGCAATTCTTTGTTTCTTTATTGTCAAAGACAAACAAACCAAATTATTAAGAACTCCACCACGAAGTAAATCATTAACAAGTAATTCTCCTGGTGAAACAAGTTTTGCTTCATTATGATCATTTTCAATAATTTGATTTGAGAAATAATTTATTACAATATCATTTAATATTATTAAAACAAATTCAATAATTTGCCACTAAAAAGAGAATTGTTTCTTATAAAAATAAATAATCTATATAATCATAGACAATAATACTGCTCAAAAAATTAAAACATGAACTTTTTTTATCGTTAAAACAAATCAACATAAAAACACAACATTCTCCTGATTATATCTGAGAATAAAGATCAAATATCATTCGATTGATCATTTTCCAGATAAAAATATACTATCATTCTAATATAAATTTCATTTAAAATATAAAAAAGAAGAATTTTACAATCTCTATAAATTTCTACTTGATTAGAGAAATGTAAAAACAAATATAATGCAAAATAAAGAATTCGATAGTTGTATTTTCCATTGATAAGGTGTAGAAAACAAAGGTAATGCTTGCAGTGTGTTTATAACGAGTGGTCTGAAAGTTCTGAGACAAAATGTCCGTTTGACTGTTTCTTTTTTAAGTATTTCTGATGAATTCAAAGCTGTGGATTATGACTATAGTTTCCTGCACCTTCCGAATGTGAACCTAGAAAATATGTCTGTTTTTATTAGAAACTTATGAGGTAATCTTTGAAAGGTTCAAACAACAGTTTGAACAGAAAGTTTTTTCACATATTTTTGTAGTTTCACTATTGCGACTCGATTGTAACATTAATATATCAGTTTGTAGAGCAGAAGCTGTCCTATAAAATGTAGTATTTGAGTAACATTCTTTTTTCTTAAATCCTCATTTTTGAAAAACAAGCTCTTTGATCATAAACGTTTTGCATAAAAAGAAGCTCTTGACTAAGTGTCTATACCTTCCTTAGGGTGAATACTAGTTTAATTCAATACAACATTTTTAAGGAAATGTCTGCTTGATAAGACGATCGACTCCGATCATTTTTAGTGCCTTTGCAAAGAGATTTCTAATGAGTTAACAAATGTCTGTTAGCTCATCATTTTATTTAACTATGGGACATTTCGAAAAAATTTTCACCATTCTCGAACAAAAATAGATACAAGTATTCATAATTTCATATTCCAAAAGAGCCCAAATTTCAGATCATTCTCCATAGTTTTTGACTGGCTACTGTAATCATGTTAGGTTCTCAAGTCAATTGAATATTAAACAACAATGATTTTCAGTTTAATCAGCTTCTGAAATAAAAATATCTCAATAGAAAGAGAAAAACATTGATCTTTCGAGTGTAATCTAATCTTTTTCTAATTTTCGATAGTATCACTCATACATGATGTTCAAAACACATAAGAATTTCGGGCAATACTTTTGATCGATTTGTGATAAAAGTTCTCATTCAAACTGTTCATGTTTAAATATTTTACAGCAGTACTTTTATTCCTAACTATCAACATAAATACTTTTTCTTGTATTGATTTAAATGTTCTTGTTGGTATTTTAAGTAAAACATGATTAACAAGAAAAACAACACAATAACCTAATGTACGCATATCAATATTTGTTTTTAATTGTTGTGATATAATTGGTTGAAGAAATTTTAGACATGATTTTAAGAAAGTATATTTTTGTGATGGAACTTCAAATTCTTCGATTTCATAAGCTATTGCTGGCATATCAGAATTTTCCATTGGTGCAAATAACTTTAAAAAAAAAAGAAAGATATTTAGAAAACCAAAAAGAAACATTCTTTTTTTCGTTACATCAACGTCACCAATAATTTTCCAAAAATGCATTGCTATTTCAGATGTTTTTGTAAACGCAGATAAAGTATTAAATAATGCTGCTTTCAGATCAAGAGATATTCGACATGATAATAATCCAAAAAAGGCACCAGTTATTTGCCATTGTGGATGTTCAAAAAAACCAATACGAGAGACTTCATCCTAATAGGAAAACAAAAAAAGAACTTTTTTTTAAAAATCGACAAAGAAAACGAATTCATTTTACTTGTGATGCGATAACTTCAATAAGATTTAAAACAGCAATAAGAGCCGTAACTTCTTTTGGAGCAATTGTTTTTATTGCTGATGGAGATGGTGATGCACCAAACGATGTTTGTTGTTGTTGATTAAGTAATGTATCTGGTCGATATGTATTACGATAAAGAAGAAATGCTTGAAATATTCGATTCCAACAGGTTGGTCCACCGGTATCTTTTTTAAATGAAAACAAAAGATCTGAATAAAATTTTGTCAATTTTAAAAATTTACCTTTAGCAAATCGTAGTAATTCAAAGCAAGCATGAGCACTAGATTGTGTTGAGGATATACCAGCTAGCATATGAATGTAATGACAATAAAGATATGCTGATAGAGTTCCACCAGCTGATTCAACAAAGTTTGCTAATGCAACCTAATTTTAAAACAAAAATTGATTTTCAATTGATTCATACAAGAGTTAAGAAGCTTTTTGTATTCAGATCTAAGCCTTATTTTCTTTTCTGAGAGCTATTTGAACTTTATCAATTTAGTTCAGTTAAATATTACAGTTCAAAATATACAAGAATCAAATAAATATAACGTACTATTTTATAAAAAAATTATATTTGATGAAAGCAACTTTTTGATTTCGTAAGAATCAAACTCCGTATTGCTATAGATGAATTATAATTGGAACGAAAGTAGATGCTATGTAGACTAAATTAACACTCTCAATAATCAGCGACTATCGAAATTTATTGGATGTATCCAGTGATCGCATATAATACGTTTTTAACTCTACTAAAAGAAAGCTATAGTTCTGAAGAGTCACCTTTAATCCTCAGTAGTACATTGACTGACATGAGTATTGTTCTCATCCTCACCCTCAAACGAAAGGGATTCGGCTGAAAATAAGGGCTAACGCTCCCTTTCGGTACAGTTAAAAATATGTTATATGCTGCCACCGGAAGAATCTGCAATAGCCCGATAGCCTTTCATACTTCATCTCTACATTCTAGCAGTATGTGTTTGTTACGACAAGCACAATTCTCATTATGAATGTTCAAGATCTTCTTTTACAGAACCTGACATACAAATTTGAGAGTTTCCACATAAGCTTGCATAATTCTTTGGTACAGCCTCATCTACATGCATCTGTTCATTTCCAGAGTACTTATGGAATCTTTTAAAAAAGTTCAATTTTTAGTACGATAAATACGCATAACAAATTTTAGTTCTGATTGCTACTTTGATTTTTACCTTTTTAGTTATTTTTCTAATTAAATGACATTCAAGAAAGACAATTATAACGAACCTGTTGTTGTGTTGGCGATTGCATCAGTCTATGTCCAGCTAAAGCATCGGCAGCAATCCAAAATTCTTCACTCAAATGTAAGCCCATATGATCATTTGCATAAAATGTTGAAAGCTAAATCCAAAAAAAGGTAAGAAATGATTTCAAATTTCTTAATAAAAAAAATTATGAATACAAACTAATTCAAGAAAATATTCATAATCCCTTTGTAAATTATCTGGCAAAGGTTTTCTAGCCCGTTCACAATCTTCAATCATTCGTGCTGTATCTTCAGCTTGTACACGTAATTCTTTTAATTTAAATGGTAAATAATAAATAAAATCGACAAAAAGCATATGAAAACGTCGAATTAAAAATTCCTATAACAAAAATAAAATGAGTTATTGTCTTTAATAAATTGTATTTTTCAATTACTTCTTGTTGAAATAAAGAACTTTTAGTAACTGTTTCCGATAAAAATGCAAATACATGTGCTTCAACTGCTGTATCTGCTAATGCTTCAATATCTTCCGAATAAATATGTCCTATAAACAAAGAAAAATGACTACTACAAGTCAGACATACATCAGTATCAGTATACTAGTGGATCAGTATTGCTGCTATGCTAGTACTAGTGACATCCAGCAATACGAATCTACCAGTATCATTGGGATCAGTAATACTGCTACTGTTGCATCCCTAAACTTTTCTTCACCATCGGAGTTGTCGCTGACTTTTGTGGAAAATCAAGTTCTTCAGCACTATAATATGGTATTACATTCTAGCTATTTCTCTCGCTGCTAATATTAATTGTGTTTATATAATCTCGTTCATCATTTTTACTGAAAAGACAAACTTTAATTTGATTACTAATTAGTCTGAGATAAGAGAAGGAATTTATCATTACGTTATCAATTACCAATTAGTAGAGTAACGGAAAGCTCGTGAATATAATTCATTTGTGAGGTAATAACTTTAGGACAAAATCATGATTTTTTTATAGTTTTATCAAAGTTTATCGGAATTGAGGAATTCAAATCTGTAATCCGGTTTTTGGTATTGTATATTTGATTTATCGATCAAGTTCCATAAAATAGCCTCTTCCGCGTCGAGAAATCAAGTATACAATTTCGAGAAACTAATTATATTTCGAGCTACACGGCTTCGAAAACTTCTAATTAAACTTTATATAATATTGTGATTTCCCCCCATGAGCTATTTGCTGACGAAAGAATCAAATCTATGATTTTTTCGTTAGACAGTAATTGATAATGGTAATTTTTCATCCCTAATCAGAGAATAAGAAATTCTACTCAATAAAACAATCGCGCAAGAAGTCATCCGTATATGATCAATATGATTTCGTGCAATGGTTGGTCAAATGATATATGATTCATTATTTTCTGATTTAATCAGTAATCAAATTAATGTTTATCTGTCAAGTAAAAATGATGAAAGAGATAATATTAGCAGTGAAATGGCTAAAATGTTATAGTGCTGAAAAGATTGTCTTTTCACCAAAATCGACAATAAATCCAATTGTCAAGATAAGTCGTTATGTAAATAAAAACTAATGTCAATAGCGATATACGACTAATACTGGTACTAGTGCATGCCTACAATAAATCGAAATAATGAATTTACCGTCTGGTAATGTATGTGAACGTGCTCGTAAAATAATAGCCCAAGCAAGTTGACAAACGGCTTTTAATTCTGGTACAATCCAACGTTCATCATTTGATAATATATCACGAATAGATGTTATCAATGCTGGATCAATGGATGAAGTTGTTGTTGTTGTTGTATTATCTTCTAATGGACTTAATGGTTGATCTAAACAAATATATATTATTCTTTTTTATAAATGAAACCTGAAGAAAAAAAAAATCTTTAAACCTTCTTGTAAACTAAATTGTTGATGTTTTGAAGTAATAATTGAAGATGAACCGATATTTGTATCATTTGGAATTGTTAATGCTAATGTTATTCCATAAAGAAACGCTCCAAGAAGATATAATGTTGATTCATCAATAATACCATCATCTTGTATTGTTGAATATTTCGCTAAATAATTAATAATTGAAAGTAAATGTGATCGTGTTAAACGTATTTGACAACTATATAAAAAAATTGCTTTAGCTTGAAATGATCGTATATGTTTTATTGAATCTTGTACTCGTCGTCGATGTTTAACATTTCCTAAGCCAGCTTTTGAATATAATTTTTGTTCTTCATTACGTATTTGAAATGATATTAATTGTTCAATAATATTTTCAATTAATCTTTGTTCAATAAGTTCATTAGTAAAATTTGTACAAAATTCAATTGATTTTGATATTTTAAGTAATGATTGAAATGTTCGACCACTTAAACAAGCCATTAAATAAGCTAAACATGCAGCTAAACGTTCTTTTGATTCATAATATAATTGTACAGCTAATAAACCACGTGTACAATCTGGATAATTTGATTGTAATGATTCTCCTTCAATTAATAATAATAATGAATCATATTCATTTAATTGAAATAAATCACTTATAGCAAAACATTCATCAATAAATAAACGTGGTAATTTTCGACGTTCAGTTAATGAATCAAATTGTATTCCATCAATATCAGCACGTAATAGGATATTACGTTGAGCTGGATTTTGTGGCTAGAATAACAAAATGTTTGGGTTTTTTTTTTTAATAGGAAAATAAATTAGAAAAAACTATTAATTTTACTGAATTAGATGTAATATTTAATAAATTGCTTTTATTTGATGTAATTGTTTGAACTTTTTCGTTATCAATTGGTTCATTTGATGCTAATAATGAACGGAGTGTATCAAATAATGTATTAAATGTATCGAACATGATCTTAAAAAAAGACGAAATCTAATAGTTATGTTAATTTCTTTTTTTCTGAAAATTTATTGAAAATGTTTAGTGTTTGAAATTTCAACCAGTCAGAGAACGATAAATATTCTACCAATGAAAAGAAAACTTTTTTAAAGTGGTCGCTGGGTGTCTTCAATAAATATTTGCTTGACCGAGTATGTTGGTTTTTAATCAAACTAGTGATATCTGATTTAAATGTTAGTTCGTACTGATTAATAATGTTGTTTTTTACTTAAACAACCTAGGATATGAAAATCTTGTCACAGAGTATTCGCTCATTTTGCAACCACTAAAAGACAATTGGTTAGAGCCAACAGCAGTTAATTAGAAATCAGAGTTTCTCTCCATTTTTCAATATATGTTTAGATTTTTCTTGTGTCTGTATAAAACAAAATAGCGATTTTGACGCAGTCTTTAGTTTGTGTCTTGAGACAGTTTCAAAATGAATATTATTGTAGAGCGCTGAGAATTGTGTACAAAATGAGATATTACAATAAGCAAAATCTTATCTATTCGTTTTCCCTAAAGAGCTAGTGTCTATAAAAATTGACATCAGGGATGTCAAGAAGAGAAAAAAAAGGTAAAGGGGATACAAGAAAATCTTTTGATAGCTGAAAAGTGCATATACAATTTTTCAAAAGTAAAGAGTGTTGAACTCTCTTTTTTATTTTACGATCGTTGTTTTTAAATAAAAAGTACAGTTTTGATTGGAAAAGACTGAAAATTTTCTAAAAGTGGGAAACGTGTTCTTTCTTCTCCCCATCGTCTCATCCCTAATTGATATAGGTGAAAGGAAAAGCTCTCTCAAAAAATGCTTGTAAAAATACAAAAGTTTTAAAATATGTCAGAAAAGTAAATACAACCCTTTGAAGAAAAAACTTTTTTTCTATGAAACTGAGGCATTAATAACTGTTTCGTATTTTGAATTTGAGAGATTTTTATCGAAATACAAAGTTGACTAAAGCAGTATTCTGTACTAGCACTATTTGAACCTTTTGAAACAATCTGACAATAGTTGTTCAAGCTTACCAAAGAAATATATTTTGAACACATATTTGGGAAGAGCGAAAAAGTGTGGTTCTAACCAACTGCTTCTGGTTCTAGCCAGTTATCTTTAAGTGATCGAACAATGAGTAAATATTTTGTGCCAAGACTTTGGTGCCATACGTTAGATTGCCAACAAAGTCTCCGTACAGAAGGATATAAAAAGAAAATCAAACACATGAAATACATATTTCGATTATTGTTAATATGATCTTTTTGTTTTTGGTTATTGAAGCTGATTGTCAATAAATGTAGCTCTAAAAAGAAAAAATAACAATATCTGTATAAGATAAGACGGTTTTAAAATTAGATTTAAAACTTCTCATTTGATATCGTCTATCATTGAATCAATAAACCAACTTTGGAACTTCGATAATCCAGTCAATTACAGTAAATATAGACAACCATTAAAGGCTGAATGATCTCATAATGTTAAATGATAACTGCAAGATAATATCATGTACGAAATTCGATATGAATTAACTATATTTTAAATATTATATTAGAATGCCAAATTTATTAAAGAAATTTTGCTTTTTGTCTGAGAAAAGCATTTGAAGTCTGTTTATATTGAATAAGTTATGTTCTTGAGAACAAAAAACAAAGTTACAAGTCTTTCGTCGATTGTGATCTCTTTATATGCATACCTCTAATTAATAGTTCAATATTATTTATTTTACTTCATGACAGACAACAGCAAAAGAATTTTGATTATTCATCAATTATTTTTCAGTGTGTTTCATAGAAAATAAAAGTATACATTGAAGGTTTTTATTGATTATCCTTGCTAAAAATCTTCAGCTAAATTTCGAATAATAAGTGTCTTTTTGTACGAAAGATACAAAAAAGATAAATGAATATGTTTCTGACCAAACAATTTCAATGAATTCCTTGTTGAATATTAATAGAGATGAACTAATCAATCAGTTAAATGCGACATCTATCATTGACCAACGAAAAAAAATTCTAGAGGAGTTGCATAGTTAGTTACTTCACTTATGGTAAAGAAAACATTATTCGACGTTATTGTTATTCCACTAATATCAGATAATAAACATGGTATGTCCATTGTTTTCGAATTAGAAACAAATACATTTCTTGATATAAATAGATTCTCTCACGAACTAAAGCAGCCGATGATCCAAAGAAGAAAGGAGCTACCCCAGCACAAGATAAAAATAAAAAGAAAGTCGGTGAAGTCGAAGATTTTATTGCTGAACGGGATTATACAGGTGCAATTGCTTATCTTGAAGTATTTAATTTATTTTTATATTGATTTATTTTCGTTATGGTTTGCTTTTCCTTTTTTTTTTAGTTTTGTCGACAAAGCGGAAAAGAAGTTAAAGATCTTGATCTTTGGTTAGGATTTGCAGCATTTCATGCTGGAGATTATCAACGAGCAAGTGATGTAAGAAAATTAATTGAATTCGTTTTATGAAGATTTTTTCTATATGTTCAATGAATTTGGATGATTTTCGTTAGCAAACTGATCAGTGACACTTTTACTATTCGAGCTAATATGTAACTCGTTCAAAAAAAAAAAGACATAAAGTGTTTACGATGTAAGACAGTTAATTTTGTCAAAGGAAAAAATGATTTACTAATGGTCACCTTTTCCACATTAAGGCATCGATAGATTATTACTTTCTTTTTTCGCTTTCGATTTTTCGACTGATACATACAATAATCTATCATAGACATTCTGCTTTGAATCGTCAAAAGTTCTAAAACGGCATCTGTTCATCTAGAGCCCGTATCAAACTCCGAAACTCGACTCTGTTGGAGTTGGAGTATTATGGTTATCTTACTTAAATTTTACTTAGAGTCACTAATTTTTGAAAAAACAAACAAACTTGAAGACTTTGGCCTGAATTTTTCGACACAAATACGCATGTCTTTCTCGGGATGCTAACTTTCCAACTAGACTTTATTGCTGTACCCTTCTAAGATAATTTGTTGTTTTTTTTTTGGAAACTGAATATCTAAATAAAAGCGTGAGCGTTTTCGTTGAAAAAATTAGGACTGCTAAATCTATTGATAGACAAAATTTCTGACCAAAATTCTTCGTTTTGATTTTTCTGGAAATGCGATAGTCGTAATAAGAATTCTACTAAAACGGGCATTACTCTTCTCCGGTAGGCTATAGGTCCGAACCATTTAAAGGTCTTTTTTACCGCAATATAATCTATCGGATACTTTCCTTGTTAGTTGTGTCTTCTTTCTTCATTTTCTCTTTTGTAAATACTTGTTAGATTTAGCTTCGTATGTTTATGAAACTTTTGAGGTATGTTCTAATTTTTTATAAAGTTAATCACATTTATTTAGTTACATTAGATTACTTTCTACTTATCATCTTCGTTTTTGTTCATTTGCAATTCCTCTCTAAGATTCGCCATCATTATTTTTTTTTTCGAACTCTCAAGCTCACGTTTGATGTTTTGAGAAAAATTTTGATAAAATATTTTTTATTATATTTAGGAATATGAAAATATTCTCAAAAATGATCCACGAAATGGTCCAGTACAAATATATCTTGCTTGTTGTTATTTTATGTTAGGAAAATATGATGAAGCTGAACAAACAGCGTCAAAAGGTTCATTTAAATTTTTTTTTTAATTTTAATTCTTATTTAAACTTGATCTTAAAGGTCCAAAATCTGCACTACAAACACGAGTTTTATTTCATGTTGCACATAAACAAAATAATGAAGAAAAATTAATGGGTTTACATCGACAATTACAAGATGTTATTGAAGATCAAATGTGTCTAGCTAGTATGCATTATATGAGAAGTCATTTTCAAGAAGCATTAGATATTTACAAACGTTATTTAGTAGAAAATCGGTATATATTTCTTTTTCATTTCTTTAATTTTCTTCAAATGAAACAATATTTTTGTTCTTATTTTCTAGTGACTATTTAGCATTAAATGTTTATGTAGCACTTTGTTATTATAAACTTGATTATTATGATATATCACAAGAAGTTCTTGATGTATATTTAAAAAAGAATTCAGAATCAGCAACAGCAACAAATTTACAAGCATGTAATCAATATCGGTTATATAATGGAAAAGCAGCTGAAGTAAAAAAAAACGAATTTAAGAATATTAAAATAAAATAAAAGTGTTACTTCTTTAGAATGATCTAAAACAATTTCTTGAAAAAATGAGTACATCATTTAATTATGCTAAAGAATTGTTTCGTCACAATATGGTAAGATAACAAGAATTTTAATTTTTTTTTAATTATAAAGTTTTTCCTTGAAAGGTTGTTTTTCAAAATGGTGAAGGTGCACTTCAAGTCTTACCACCATTAGTAGATGTTATTCCCGAAGCACGTTTAAATTTGGTCATTTATTATCTTAAAGAGGGTATTGATTATATAAATAACGATTGGCATATAAAGAATGACCCGTTCAGTATTTTGTGAATATTTCTCTCAATTTTTGAAACTTTGAGTTAAAACGTTTATTCAATAGATGGCTGGTAAGATTTTCTTGGATAACTGGAAAGCCATATCCATTCTGCAGTTCTATACCAAAAAAAACATCTACTTTCAAACATTATTTCTTAGTTACAAAATTAATTGTTTCCTTTCGTAGTACTAAAAAAAACATTTCAGATCGTTCAAAAATAATTATTCTTTGTTTTCAGATGTTCTCTTTCGAATAGAACTCAAGAAAGGTCTTTAAATAAGTGCATGAGGTTTCAGTGATCAATCTTCTTGATAAAAATGATGAAACCGTTGATGGTTCTCCTTGCGAGGGAACTCATTCGACTAATAATATCCGTTTAAGCTCATATTTTTGTCATAGATATGACTCGTAATGGAGATCAAAAGTTTGGAAGGGTTCGTGCCATGAGGTCTTTCCTCTCGAGTTATGCTCATTTTATTGAACTTCTAATTAGTCACACGATATCACGAGAAAAGTCGTAACAAGAAGTTTCGATATGAAATTCTTCCTAATAATAGCACTCATGATACTTATGGATATACTGAAAGTTTCAGCTCAAACAGATGTTTCCCTTCTGAAGTGACACGTTTGTAAAACCTACAGCTTTCACACGACAAACCCCAAAATAGCTCATTTTTTAGGGATATAATATCTTGAGGAGAAATCATCTGTTTCAGCTGAAACTTTCAGTATACCATAAGGATCATGACAGTTATTGTTTTTGGAGATTTCCAGGTCGAAATATCTTGTTACGATTTTTCTTGTCATGTCTTGCAATAGACTGAAAGTTCAATAAAACGAACATAACTCGAGAAGCAAGACGTAACGGTACGAACCATTTCAAGATTTTTGTCTACACTGGATTATACCTGTAAGTAAAATATGACTCAAAGGGAAATTCTCAGGGGGATTAGTTCCCTCGTTATTCAAGCCCTTTATTACAGGCAACTGCTTTTACAACAGTTCGCTCGTATCTAATATATAGAAGAATATTTTCGATTAGTTTGAAAATAAATCTGAATTTGTATTAATTGTATACTTGGCTTAATTATGTCTAATCTCTAAAGGAAAGTTCTTAAAACATGGATTCGAGAGGTCAAATAAACTCTTTTAGACAAAGAGGTGTACAGTACGTCTAAAAATGCATTCGCTCGAATAATAGAACTTTTAAAGAACCACAAAATAATTTATACAAGTTTTCTATATAGTATCAAAAACCGATGCAAAATTCTAAAAATCAAAAGAGTAATTTGAAAATGGACATTTTCACAGTATAGTACTGCTGATTTGATATGATTTTTCACGTATCCTTTTGCACAATCGTTTTCATTAGGTGTTATAAAGAATCTTATCAGTTTGTCTTTTACAAAATAGTTTTCAAATTAAAGTTTAAAAATTCGAAAGAGATATTCGAAAAATACTGGAAACGGTATTCTATATATGTCATTCGCTATCTTCACAATTGATTTCACATGATGGTTTTTTTCTTTATTATTTTTTCAGATGATCTTGATCATGCTTATGATTTAATGAAAGATGTTGAACCATTACAACCAGCTGAATATATATTAAAAGGTGTTGTCAATGCTGCTTACGGACAAGAACATAATTCAGTATGTTGCAATTTTGATTTTACATATAAGATTATTAAGTTTACTTATGTTTAGCGTGATCATATTAAAACAGCGCAATCTTATTTTCAATTAGTAGGTGGTTCAGCAAGTGAATGCGGTAAATAAGTTTTTTTGAATAATTTATTTCCTTGTTAAAAGGAAGAACATTTGAGAATAGGAACTTTTTAGAAACATTCCTTCTTGCCTGTTATTATCCAGGGAAACATTATTTTTATCGACGAATAATTATCACCTGGAATATAACCTAAGGTTATGAAGTGCATTAATATAATACTCTTGGTGTTAGTTTGTTCAAGTAAAATAATAATAAATTATTTGCGAACCTAATAGATATGCAGATTGTAGTCTTAAATAAAAAGAATAATTTATCAATATTATAAACATTAGAGACCTAAATCACCTTTCATTAATGTAAACAAGAAAAATTTTGTACCAAATAACTGCTTTCATTTATTTGAAAAGAAGAGGTTTTACTATTTGTTCCGTTTACTGAAAGCTTGTTTTTAGAGTATCTGCGCCAAAGTAGATTCTTCGACAAATAATCTTGTAGAATAAAATAGATAAGTCGAAAAAATTGAACACAACAAACATACAGTGAATTACTACTTAAAAAATTCTCTGCTGTAATAAAAAAAGATATCTTTTCAAATAGTGATTTACTAGCAAATTATTACGGTTTATTTTGAAAATCGTACCAAAACTGTTGACAGACTTTATGAATCTGTATACTTTATTTCCAATCTTATAGTAAATAAATTGCGAATTCAATCGTGTGCAGATAACATTTCAAATTCATTTAGTGAAATATATATAAAATTTCTTCGGTCAAAAAATAATACTTAGAAAAATCAATTTTTTACTTAGGTGTATCAGAAAAATGTCTTATTTTTTCATCAAACTGTTGCCATGTGTAACTTATGTTTTGATAATATCATTTAGTGCTGATGCTAGAAATCAGAAAATGTCATTTCAATAAAATATAAAAACTAAAAGTGTCATTCATTTGGATTAAGAGGGTGTGATATATTTACGAAGTATATTTTTCGACTTTCAGGTACAATAATTTTTCTTATTATTTAGATACTATCCCTGGACGACAAAGTATGGCATCCTGTTATTTTCTTCATAAACGTTTCGATGATGTTATCGTTTATTTAAGTTCAATAAAAGTTTGTTTTCTATATCATCAAAGTAATATTAAAAGAAAAACTGAATTTGTTTTTCTCTTGTTAGACTTATTTCTATAATGATGATACATTTAATTTCAATTATGCACAAGCAAAAGCTCATGAAGAAAAATGGAAAGAAGCAGAAGAAGTAAATATTTTATTTAAAAAAATATTATTAATGAAATATGTTTCTTTTTGTGTTCTTACAAAGGCATTTTTACTTATTCAAAGTGAAAAATTAAAAAATGATTATGTTTATTTAAGTTGGTTAGCACGATGTTATATTTATAATGGTAAACCACGTCTTGCATGGGAACTTTATCTTAAATTAGAACATTCCAATGAATCGTTTTCATTACTTCAATTAATAGCTAATGATTGCTATAAAGTAATATTAATAATAATTAGGAAAGAAAATTATTCCCTTTTTTTTTCTTTTTTCTGCTTTAGCGTGGACATTTTTTTTATGCTGCTCGCGGTTTTGATATTCTTGAACGTATGGATCCAAATCCAGAATTTTGGGAAGGTAAACAAGGTGCCTGTGCTGGTGCATTTCAACAAATAGTTGCTGGTCATGAACCTCGGTAGAAAAGAAATCATCTATATGCATATATAATTTTACAAAAAATGAGTATTTTCTTTTTTATAGAGATACACTGCGTGATATTTTATCATTGTTACGGAATACAAATCATCCACAAGGTAAAAAATTAATTATATACAAACAGCTTCAAATTTTATTTCTTTTTCTTTTCCTTTCCTTTCTTTTAGGAGAACAAATGATTAAAATTATGCGATCATGGGCAAGAACAAATAATATTCCAGTTTAATACGAACTTAGAAAACGAATATTTTTATTGCAGCAGAGAGACAAAGGATAATACGTGTAAAGGGTTGAAAAATATCAATAAAGAAATTTAAGATACTAAACAATCAGGTGTTTTAGATGAATGTTTATCGTTGGATGATGTTGCTTTTTTTTTCATAGATGTTCTTCGTATAAGACTTCGACTACGAATAAAACCTTTGTCTGTGTTATCATTAAATTCTTTTCTCTTAAGACGTTCACTAACTTTTCGTCGTAATATTGGACTTAATTGTCTTGCTGCAGATAATTGTACAAGACTAAGTAATTTAAGAAATATATCAATTATTGATGCACGATCAAGTGCTGTACATTCAACAAAACGGCAATGTAATGGACCAAGATCATTAAGCATTGTTCTTACATGATGTTCTTCAACTTCACGTATACCTGTACGATCGGTTTTATTTCCAACAACAACAATTGGAATTTCAGCATAATTTGTTCTTTGTTCTTTTATTTGTTTGATGATACAACGAACTTCATCAAATGAAGGCATACTATCAACACCTGTTTATTTAAAGAAATTTATATTTATTCGGAGACTTTTCATTCGAAAACTTACTGTAAACAAGAATAAATGCATGTGATGTAGCAATTGATAAACGACGCATGGCTGGGAATTCCATATTACCTAAATTAACATATATCAATAGATGAAGTCATACGACTGTTGAGTTCTTCATTTACCGGCAGTATCTAATATATCAACTTTAATTGTTTTATCATCAATAGTAAATTCTCGATAATGCAAATCTTCGACAGTTTCTTTATAAGTATCCAAAAATTTTCCATTTAAAAACATATGAATTATAGATGATTTTCCTGTGCGACTAGCTCCAAGTAAAACAAGACGATAACGTGTGTCTTGATCAACCATAATAATTGGAAATGGTTTTGGACTATTGAACGATGTTGCTGGAGAATCTAATTTCTAAATAGAATTTTTCATTGGATTTTTTTCTTTCTATGTCCCAAAGAGTTGAGATGTCGATGCAGATTGACATCAACAAACCTGATAAACGGAAATGCAACAGAAAGGAAGAAAAGTAAGACTACAATCGTCGATGTATAGAAAAAGCAATTGTCAATAGCACCAAAATATTGCTCTCTTATATATTTTCTTCAAGATCATGATTGATTGATTGTCAAGGAAAAGCTTTAAAAAATTCTCCTGCATTTATACTAGCAGATCAATTCCAAACGAAGAAATCAGCTTTACATGTTCAATGCAATTCTATATTAACTAATATTAACAGAAAAAAAAATTAACCAATAGTTACCTGCTTATACTGATGTTCATGATACTTCCAGAAAAAAGATTAAATGATCTTCCTATAAGATCGTTTAATAAGCAATAAAGGTCGATAGAAAGAAATAAAAAAAAGCAGATTGACAAAGAAAAATCGAGAAAATAAGCTATTCAATTGATTACTTAATCAAGGAATAGCTGCCTTCAACTTATATAAAAAGAAGAAAAGTTTTTATATCAGTAAATAATTATTTTTGTCTCTCTACACACATATATATATATATATATATCAATAGATTAAAAAAATGCTTTGATTAATTAATAATTCATCAAGTATATTAATCGATTATTGTCACCTTATTTTATTTCTCTTTATTGAAAATATATCATCAAATAAATGACATACCTCGTTGGCCTGTATGTTCATTGTGCTTCAAGCAAATTTATATGTTCAAATAATAGTAACGTGTTTGACAATCTTTAATGAAATGTCTATAGGTAAAATCCGGATAAGAGTGCTGACAGGATTTTTTATTTTTGACGAAGATAGATGTTTAAAACTCGTATATATGAATGAATGAATGAATGAGTGACGAAGAGAAATGGCAGTAGAAAAAAAAACAACTAATAATAATTTATATCTAAAAGATGAGTGAATGATAATGTAAAAAGAAGAAAAGAAATAATAAAAAGAAAACACCGTTAGAAGTTTAGTAATTGCTGTTGATGCCCGAAATACAATGCATTGAATTAAGCAATGCTGACGACGAAATCTGTTGAGACTCAGTTTCTGTCTATATATACTGATGTGAGATTAATGTATAACAATCAAGGAACATACATTTTTATGACTCAGGAAGTTAAAAGAATAAAAAATATTGAATTAAAATGACATGTTGATATGATTCATCAAAAAACAAAAAAAATGATATTCTGGATGACGAAATGGACATGTTAATGAGTTGAGTTCGATGACTTTAATTTAAAAATTAAATTCATTTCATTTATTCGATTAAAATGTTCGTTTTAATCAATTATATTAGAATACATCAAATGTAATGTTCATGTTATCATTCAAAATTTTGTCTGTTTCTCCTGTTTTTATTATGTAAAAATGACGAAATCTTTTTGATTACTCAACTCCATTGAGACCTGATAGTAGTCAATCACCATTACACTTCACTTTTCTTCTCTTCTTTCTCAGCTCTCCCTCGGTGTTAATCTTGATGACGCGTGTTGCTCTTCTTATTCTCTCGTGTGACTATTATATGAGGATGTATTTATAGTGACATAGATGCGACTGGGGTGATGAAGTAGCTTCATAAACATCATTATCGTAGCTTATGACAAGACTATGCCTACAATTTGTAAAAGACTCCTTTACATTTTTATAGTGAGGGAGAAAAAGGATATGGATCGCCTGATGGACGATGCGCACGAAAAGGTTCAATAAGGGTTAGAAAGAAAGCTGAAGTAAAAAAGTAGTAAATTAGCAACGCAAAACGATTTTCTTTCACAAAAGAAAATTCACGGTATAGAAGAACTTCTGAGCGTGTATAATTTGACACTGGGTAAAGAAAGACAGGCGAATAAAGTGAGGGGGGGAGAGGAGAGTCTTGCACACTTCTTATTTTTCTGACTTCTCGTTAACGACAACTTATTGAAAATATCAAAATAATAATCTAAACAGTTATTGGAGTGACCTATGAGACTAAGATTTTATCATTTTCCAAAGCACAGGTATTGTAGTTTGTATTACACAAAAATATTTTTTGTTCAGCGAAAAAAAAATTTAGCACGTTTTAAGTATTTAGCCAACTTTTTCGTTATTCAATGAAAGCTGAAACTTGTTTCATAGGCTAGCCAGTCAAAATTCTACGGGTACATTTTAGTAAAAAGCACTTATTCTAATATTGGCATATTGATTCATTAGTAATTAATTAATAAAGTTTCGACTCATTTTCAACTTTTAGGTATCCATATAAAAAAAACATTAAAAATTCAACAAAACTGTTTTATTATTATTTCGAAATGAGTCATCTTAGTATGACGACTTTTAGAGTGTTTTCAGGTTTAATAAAACCATATTCTTCATCATTTTTAATAGATTCAATTATGAAACGAAATTTTAGGTCTGCAAAAACCAACAAGTTTTGAAAAGCAGTATTTGCTGTTCCAAACGAAACATCACTGTTCTCAGTACCTTATTCTATTCACGCTTTGCAGAGTCTTTCAAATTACGGAATCGAAATACGTCAAAAACATAGCTGGAAGTTATGATTTAAATTACTTCTTTAAAGTAAACATCGTCAAGTTTGAATAGTATAATGTATTGAGAATGACGACGTCTCACGTGAAACAGCAAATACTGATCTTCCACGTTGGTCGGTTTTTGCTCAGCTAAAGTTTCGTTTTAGATTTGAATTTCTTAAAATAATGAAAACTATGTCTAATAAAACTAAAAATATTCTGAAAATCTCACTGATATGATCTATTTCAAAATAGTAATAATAGAGTTTTGTTTTATTTTTAATTCTCTTTCATATGGCATACTTAAAAGTTTGAAATAAATCGAATCTTTATTAATTAACTCCTAATGAATAAATATGTCAATATTCTAATAAGTAGGTTTTTACCAAAATGTTGTCCGTTAAATTCTACACTGAATAGTATTTAAAACAAGTTTTAGCTATCATTGAATAATGAAAAAATTGACGTAACACTAAAAAGCGTTAAGCTTTTTTTCTCTAGAGAAAATATTCTTGTGTAATAAAAACTGAAATACCTGTGCTTTGAAAAATGATCAAATCTTAGTTTTGTATGCCACTTTGATAATTATCGAAATCATTATTTGGATATTTCTAATAAGTTATCGTCAACGAGAAATTAATAAAATAAAGAGCCTGTCAGACTTGTTTCTTTCAGTGTAGGTCGACTCAGTAGTGTTTATATTAAACTTAAACAACAGCAGTCTCGTTATGTGTCATTGCTCAATCTAGAAATGGAGTTTTCTGCTAAAATTATTCATTTTCCTTTCTTCACCTGCATGTTCCATATATCATAACGAACAAATAATAGTAAACAAAGAGAACTAGAAGAAAAAGAGTATCGTATGTCAAGTATTCTTTCTATCCGTCTTAAATGAACGAATTACTATATAATAGTTTATTAGAAGCACGTATATGAGTGTAATTCCTCTACAGTGTCTATTCATGCTTTTTTATTCTTGATTTTTCAAACACAAGCTATCGATATATAACTCATAAATTCCCTTGTGTATGTTCATTGAAATATATGAATGCATTAGTCTATACTTCGATTATTCATTTTGTTTTACTATTGCACTTATAATACAATAGATCTTAATTTATTTAAATTATACACATTACTATTGCTATCACAATTCTATGCAATTCATGTAATGATGTTGTGTAGTAGCCTTTTCCACTCTAATCGTGTATATTTTAAATATTCTTAAAACTCTGTTTCTTTCATTAAATATGAAGCCATATCTAAATTTGACAAGGGAATTATAAGCGTGACATACGGATATAAACCGATGTTCCTTTATTTTCACGTCTTTGATGTGTCAGTCGCAAGAGCTTCTTATTCTCTCGTGTTCAATTAGTTGGTATCTAGCATTAAATAAAGAAATTGACGTCTGAAGTATACAAGAAAAAAATAATACACTTCTGAAAGGCGCATGTCTAACA